TTGGTAAATGTGAAGTTTATATTGCCGGCAACTTAAATTACAATAAATAACACATCACAATGTTCATTATATTTCATTAATACTCTGTAGTGAATCTGTAGTAAATATGAGAAAGCCAAATAAATGTAATGAAGTAATAATAATTGCTCCTAGAGTGTAGCTTAAAATGTAAAAACACACAGGTGAGGTACCGGTACTACAAAATTGTACTTGAATATATTAACTTAGTAAGTTTCCATCATTGCCATTATCTGTTTCCCCAGAGTCACTGCTGTGGTTTGATTGATTGGAAATTGATTAACAGATTCGTCAATCAACAGAAAAATACTCGCCATCTAATTCCTTCATAAATTGTAGCACATTTGATTGATCAAGCATCAAAAATGAGTGTGGTTGCTGCGATTATATTGTATTTTACATTATCTCACAGTGAATTAAAAAGGATGTAAGTACGACTGTAAAACTGCAGAAACAGATGAAAAAGCTTTCCTCCTTTTTCATCATGATTAAAATAGCGGCTGGATGAGAAAAAAAAAACTTGAAAACCTTCAGAGGCTTTAAATGTTTGTGGCCCAGAACGAATTGATGTTTTTTCATCTAATTCTCCCACTCAGGCATTCTGGGTAAAAAGCAGTCGGAGGACACAATAGCCTGGAGGGTTGTGACTTGAAGGACAGCTGACTCCATGTTCTGCAGAATGTATAAGACTGAAACAAACCATTGTATTATCTTCGACAAGGAAATTATTTCCATGTTGCTCCACTGGTTTGTGGTTTGTAATTACCTTCAACAAGGAGGTTATGTTTTCACCGACGTCCGTTTGTTTGTTTTTGAGCAGATTACCACGAGACTTGGTGAAAGGATGTGTTATAGTTCAGGGAAGAATAGTTTAAATGTTGGTGCAGCTCTAGATCAGGGAGCTTATCCAGGAACTTTTCTTTAACATTGCAACATACAGCGTTTTAAACATTTTCCATTTATAGATCTCAATGAAAAAAATCACACGTTTGTGTGGATGATGTGCTTGTGTGCAAATTGCTATAGGGGATTTAAATCTGATTTCATAACTGTAGGGCCGTGGTGGAGATGTGCAGTCTATAAATGTGGTCACATGGGACTGTTTCTAAGTGTGATTGTGGAATAGAACATTTTAAAAAAGGAAAACAGTTCCTACATTTTACGTAAGGTGCAAACAGCAGTGGATTGTGATTGTGCTGGTCATTCACTGGGGATGTGAGTCTGTGTCCCTGTGGATCAAAAATAATTAAAAACAAAACTTACCGTAAAAGGTGGCATGTTATCTGCCCGCTGTCTGCACTTCCTTATTTGGTTACCACACATAATAAAACACTGTTACTCTTTTACAAACACCGGTTAACAAAATGTTTGCAGGATACGATGAATGCCTGCTGGCTGATGTCCTATTGTATTGTATTATTATACTGTTCTTATTCTATTTGATCATATATTATGCTTTGATATTTTTCTAACACTGGTTTCAGTTTTGTGCAGCAGTGTGGGTCATGTATCTGCTGTAAGGAGGCTGAAGACAGTGTCTGATCCCCACAGCAGTGAATGTTCAAATTCAAATTCAAACCTTTGTGAGAATCTTTTGAATATGATGTGTTTAAAATGTCAATATGACAGCTGAGGCTGGGAATAACACGGAACAGATGAAGCTAGTGGTTGATACATCAGCTGTAGATACAAGTTATTTTCATTGTCAGTTGGTTATTTTCCTGATTAATTGTGAATACAATACCAGAAATATATAGCAAAACAAAAGTTTTGTGTGCCCCGCGTGACATCCTCAAATTTCCGGGTTGGTCCTAATAAAAGGCAAATAGCTGGCTGTAATATGCCTGAGGATGCTAATGTTTACCAGCTCACGTGACTGGTTTATGATTGTTTCATATGATGAAAGACAAACAAAAAGGGGAGAGAAAGACAAGATCACGAGCTGAAGAGTCTGTTCTATTTGTTGATCATTTTCATTTATGATTTCCTCTTAATGCTCAAAGTGTTTCCCTTGTAGTGGCCGTTGCCTCTAAGCTGAATTCAGCTCAGCTTTATTTACCATTTGATACTTTACATAACACAGTACATTCAAAGTGTTTACCAGAAAGAAGAAATGGTTCAATTTGGCTTTAAACTTCTCTATTCCAAACTTTCATTTCGAGTGGAAAGTGAAATGGCTTTTAAATCTTAGAGTCACCATAATATTTTAGTTTTTAATAAACTCCTCTCCGTACTCGACTTGGATGTTTGAGCTTCGCTGTGTACATTTACATGATTTATAACTACTTGAAAGTAAATTAACATTTTTTTTGTTTTATGTGTCGTGGAAATTTGAAACCTCCTCTGTACATACAATGGTCTTTTACGTGTGTCCTCTTATTAAGACCAAATTGAAGTTATGACTGCAAACAAGTTCAATATAGTTATGTTTTTACCTATGTTGCAGTTAACTGTGTTTTTAAGATAAAAGCTGTGTATCTTCTGTCACATTCAGACACTTCACCCTCATAGATTTGAGGGTCGACACAAACCTTGATGGCCCGACGCCCGCAGCACTGTGCTCTAACAACTATTAACATAATCAGATAAAATGAAGTAAAGGGAACTGAAAGCCAACTCCTGCATGTTTAAAGTACTTCTGGCCATTTGCATGCCTCCGTGGATAAAAATTACACTCAAGGACATGACAGAAAATTGTAGGATCGACAGAGAGAGGCGACCACATGTAACAAGGGTGGCCTGGTTAAATCCTGGGATGTTGCAGCTCGTGATCTGTCCTTAAATCCTGAAGGCTGTCAGCATGACCAGACAAAACCCTGAGCAGTGAAAAATATTCCACTGACCTCAGAGTACATGGCACATTTTATTAAATGCCCAGACAGTGACACCAACCAGCACTTTAAAGCTGAGGTAAGTTGTTGATTTATTGATCAGCAGACAATTGTTTGTGAAAAGTAACCTAAAAATCACCGGCATTCATTTCTCATGAGAAAACCTTTTCCAGTTTTTCCATAAAGATTTTATTTTTTTATTTTTTTTACCCAAAATAAGAAGCAATCTGAATAATTTAACGATTATTACAAAGACTAACACTGAGACATATTGATAAAGAGAAAACAATTCTTGGTTGCTGCCTTAAAATTATTCTATGAGAAAAAAGAATATCCTTGTTCAGGCTTTCTCTATTAATATAACTTGACAGAAAATTTTAAAGCAATTTGATAAAACAAATTACTTCAATATGGAGTAAACAGCCTAGGTCTTATAACTAGATTTTGAGTTCCTCTAAAAGGACCACAGGATGTAGGACTCAAATAAAGTGGTTCACATATGTGATTAATCAAATTATGTCAAAACCAAATGATGTGGAGTAAACATTTGAGGCCTCTGGAGTTCTGAAATCCACATGGATTATCACTAATGCTGAGACACTAACCAAGGCTCAAGTGTTAACAATTAACTTCTCATGTCAGTGGAGTGTAATATGTGCCTCTCCTCACTTAACTGACCCATAAAATGCCTTGTGTATAATTTCTCGGGGCCAAATTATGTTTACACCCTGGTTCAAACCTGTTAGCGACACTAGAATGTAAACGTTATTTGGTTTGACAGCTCAACCTAGCATGTGAGGCTCCGGAAAGTGAGCGCTCCATCCTGCGTCAGTGGAGCAGATAATTTTATAGCCAAAAAGCTTCAAGGTTTTTTTTCCACCCGTTCTTAAAAGTGCACAGACTGAACTGTGATGTGAATTCTTCTAATAAGACTCATTCACTACTGATGTTGAGAGAAAGCATTTTAGACCCGATAATGTTGAGGTAAGATGCACAAAGGGACAGCCCAGATGAATTATATATACATATATATATAAAAGTGTGATACTGTCATTAAAACCTCTAAAGCAACATACACTAGTTACAGCACATAACCCAGATGACTCATATCACTTTGCTAGAAAACAGTGCAAACATTAAGAGATGCCGTCAGAAGTGATGTGAGTGGTAAGATATGAAATGGCGGGATGCCAGAGAAGAAAAGTTGAAAATGTTTGGTTGAGAGTTCACTGATGTTGATGGATAGTCCTATGTGATGAGCTCATGGGTTCAAAAAACCTCTTGTGATCGTCTCTCCACTTCACAGATGATAAAACTTCTCCTTGTTGCAGCAGGTCGGCAAAGATCTCAAGTCTGAAAGCTTACATGCATATGTCAGATTTCTCACACTTCTGAGGAACTCATCTATCTGTGATTCAAAAGAAAGAGCATCCATGCTGCTTAGTTTTGCTAGTTTGAAATGTTTCCTTTGACGTAAATTATTGTTATCACTTGATTCCTCTGGGTCATCTGTCACTGATAAATGATAGTCATTCTTATTGAACTGAAATGCCTGAGGCGAGAGATTAAAATGATTTAGATTCAATATCTAAACCCTCATGGTCTAACGGTGGACAAACTCGATTATAACTGATT